AATTAATGTAATTAATTTACGAAATCATTTTGCTCAAATATTCCGGCTATTAACCTTATTAGTTAATGATTTAAATTTAAAGTATAATATATTGACAAAACTTCCAGCTATTACCTTTATTAGTTGCATGGCTTAAATTTGGTATATAATATATTGAAAAAAATTATAAAGGTTTTTATCTAAAATTAAAAATAAAGAAATAATTATTCATAATTTACAAGTTAGTATTGACTTAGACGTAAACGACATAGTTAATTATTTATAGTTTATAAATTACTCAACTACTTAATTTTTTTGATTTGAATAGTTTATAAAAAAATAAATTTATTTTAAATAATGAAAAAATATAAGTTTTATGTATATACTTATATTCACATAGGTTGTTAAATATATGATAAAATTTTACCAAAGTAACTATTTTATGGAATTACATTATAGTCAAATCAAATTTCTGAATAAAAATTTTGAAATGACACTTATTTTGAACAAATATAATGCAATTTATTATCAATTATGTGCACCGCACGAGTTATGTACTAATTTTAAATAGATATTTTTATGTAATTTTTCACAGTTTAAAGTTTATATAACATTTTTGATAAATTAATATAGGTAAATTGTATTACATATTGATTTTAAATTTTTAATATATAAATATTATTTAACAAAATTTATTAATTTATAATTATGAATGAAGACCTCTTACTCGTGCACTGCACGAGACTCATACTAGTTAGTATTAATTAAACATTTAGTTTAAATTGGGTAACTAAACGGGTATGAGAAGACATCATAGATATGAGAATGAGTTTTTGATAGAAGATATGTTGTTAGGCTAAACCTATGATTAACAAATTAAATATCAAGATTATGCTAATTAGAAAACTAAGAATATGATAATCTATTAATATATAAAGAGACAACCCAAAAATTCTTGAAATAGTAAATAAAAAATATTTAGAAATCCCGCCTAAATCTTTACTAATAATAGTAATTTTTTTGAAAAAATTTGTCCCGCCTATTCAAATATGATTTTATTTTGTAATTTAAAAATCAAATTTTAAATTGCATGAAGTATATCCAATTGAGGTAGTTACTTAGTATACAAATCAAATCAGTTTTGTTAAGATAATTGTTCACACCTAACAAATAACAAACTCCATGGGCCTTAATAGGCCCATTCTATTCAATGGAAACATTTCCAAACATTCAAGTTGATTATACTTTATACCGTTTCGTAAATAAACTTATTACACTTCAAGTGTAAAAAAAACAAAAGGGAAATTACTAAAAAGTTTATATTATTTATTTTTATTTTTTCTTAAACTAAATACTACTTTTTATCTTTACCCCCATAAAATGACTTGGTGGAAGTTCTAAACCAAATAAATGTCCACATAACTTGCCTTATGATATCTAAACCAAATAAATGTCCACATAACTTGCCATATGATATTTATAATAATTCGATAAATCTTTTAATATATAAAGTGGCAATGATATTTATTTGAAATAACAAATAAAAATCAGCAAAAAAAATTTGGTTTTCCGCCTAAAAGTATTTACTATATTGGTAATATTTTTTGCCAAAATTTAAAAAATCTCGCCTAAATATATGTAATTAATTTACAGAATCATCTTGGTCAAATATTGCGGCTATTACCTTTATTAGTTGCATGATTTAAATTTAGAATATAATATATTGACAAAATTTGCTGGTATTACCTTTGTTAGTTTCGTGGTTTAATTTTGGTATATAATATATTGAAAAAAAATATTTATTTTTAATTTTAAATAAAAAATAATTATTCATAACGTACGGGTCAGTATTAACCTGGACGAAAACAAAACACATTATAGTTTAATAAATTACTCAATAACTTATGGGTCAATATTAACTTGGATGTATATGAAATAGTCAATTATTTATAGTATAATAAATTACTCAACTACTCAATTTTTATTTATTTGTATAGTTTATACGAAAATAAATTATTTTAAGTAATGAAACAACATAAATTTTATATTTATACATATTATTTACATAGGTTGTTAAATGTAATTTATTATCAGTTATGTGCACCAAACGAGTTATATATTAATTTTAAATAGACATTTCTAATCAAATTTTGTACATTTTAAACTTTGTATAACATTTTCAGTAAATTAGTATAGATAATTGTATTACATATTGATTACATATTTTTAATATAGAAATATTACTTAATAAAAAAATTAATTAATAAATATTAATGAATATCTCTTACCCATTGCACGAGACTCATACTAGTAGCATCATGAATATGGTAATTATTTTGAACTTTAATTTGAAATGAAAGACTATTGAGAGGTGGCCCACCAATTGAAATATATTTAGGTATTACTATTTACCGCCCCTTATTACTAGTCACCGCCCCTCTTGGACGATTTTGCCATTTAGTACTATCTCGCTCTACTCTGTCTCTCTACTTTTTTTCTTTCGATTTTTTACGACTCTTTTGACCGTTAAAAAAAATTTAGAAAAATACCAAAAAAATATCATGACATCATCAAGACATTGAAGATTGACAATGTATTTTTTTCATATTTTTTTTACTTTGTAAATAATTTTTAATTTTTTTTTACTATTTTTTTTCGCGTCCGGCCGGCCGGACCGGACGCGAAAAAAAAATAAAAAAAAAATAAAAAATTATTTACAAAGTAAAAAAATATAAAAAAAATACATGGTCAATCATCAATGTCTTGCCGATGTAATGATATTTTTTTGAAAGTTTTTTAACGATTAAAAGAGCCGTAAAAAATCGAAAAGAAAAAAGTAGAGAGAGAGAGAGAGTAGAGAGAGAGTGTGAAAGGAAAAAAGGTAATTAGGGATTGGTGACTAGTAAAAGGGGCGGTAAATGGCGATTCACTATATTTATTATATAAAGCTAGAAGATAATCATCTGTCAATGAAACATAATTTTTGCTTTGCATGAGTAAAATTTAATTTGTCAAAACTTTACTATAAAATGCCAATAATCTAAAATAGGTCTTGAAATGTTAATTATTATTTCAATCAATATTATTTTTATTAAAAAATATGGCATATCAATCAATAATCAGCGAACCTTATTATATACAATAATTTTTATAGTGTTCTAGTTTCCTGTGCTAGTCCATTTATTTTTATATACAATAATTTGTACATTTTTCAAGTTAATTCCTTGTGCTATTCCATTTATTTTTCCAAAAAGAAGTTCATAATAAGAAAAAAATTGAAATAAATTGTTATTAAATGGATAATGAGGAAACCCTTGAGACCCCACAATAAGCCAGCCAATGTGGGACTGTTTTAACTTTTTAACCTTTTATATTTTCCACATCCCGAAAGTAATGGCTACAATAGCTGGTCGCCTTCAACAAACAATACAAACATATAAAAAAAAAAAAACAAATTATAATAAATAAAAAAATAAACAAAAAAAAAAAATTGAAAAAAAAACACATTTCCAAACCAGTGATAATAATTTTCATTCTCTAAAAAATAAACATCTTAAAATTCAAGAATTAATAAATAATAAGTTTAAAATACTCTCACAAGTCACAACTATTTCACAAAAAAATAAAATAAATAAATAAATAAATAATGAAAAAAGGTCA